CGCCATTCCAAATTTTTCCTTCAAAAGCACAAAAATTGTTAAAGGATTAGATAAACCTGCTGTAAATTATCGCCATGCGATAAGTCGCATGTAGTCGCGGCAGGCGAATGGAAATTTATAGATTGTCCCTTTATACGCGCGAAGCTAAGGTCCTACTTGTAACATTCACACAATAGGCCGCAATCTCGGATCATCTTTTACTTCAGGAAAGGGAAGGAATAAAGAAAGAAATTCCAAGAGAGGCATCTACTGACAGTTCTTCCGCACACAACATAGAAAAAATGAGTTATATCTCAACCATAAGCTTCATCAATCATATTCCGAATGACAACGAAGCGATTAAAAACCATTCGTATTTTTGATGCTGCTCGAAGTAAACAAACAACAATCTTTCATTATGAGATTTCCCTTTCCAGAAGAAGGTTTTCACCACCTTTCAAAAAAAAGAGGCAAAAGTCAAGTCAATTCTATTTTCTGCTATATCGAATTTCCAGGATGTGACCGCTAATCGACAATGACAAAAATATTGGAGCTTCGGGATTTTTTTTTAGATGACAACTTCTTTGAAGTTTTAGAACGGAGCATTATCAATGAAAGTTATTCCAAAGTCAATAATTTGAAACAGCTTACTGAGTCATAGAACAATGAAGTTAGTGCACTGTAAATAGTGAAATTATGGAAGAGACAACATTCTTTTTAACCCTAGCACACCAAAGATTAGTGAATAATCGATATGACGTAATGATCTAGTTTGAAAATCGCATTCCCGCATTTCATCTTAAACATGACACACAATTCTTTACAGGGTGGACATTACCAAAAAAGTCGCTTTCCAACTTTTCTTTTAATGTGCAACTTTTTTCGGGCTCCCTAATTTGTCTTTTATCAAAGCGGCTAGAGGTTGAAAACTAAAGATTTGCAGCAGCACAAGAGTTAGAGAGAACAAATTTCGATAAGGTGCTTGAGCATAAAACAACCTCTAATCAGTTATATATGTAAACTGTAGTTTAGCATTAGGTGAATTTCTCATTTTTCAATTCTCTTTGTACAAGAAATGAATTCGTTCTAATTATATTAAATACCATATGACAAACCGAAATCTTGAATAATGAATTTGTTTGTTGAGATAACAAAGTGAAAGCCGAGGAACTGAAGTTGAGAAAGTGTAAAAACAAGACAGATTAGCTAACTTTCGGAACAAACCATTTCCAAAGCGAGAATCGAAGTGGAAAATTATTTATCTTTCCAGTATATTATAGTGACCAGAATAGTACAACTCTGAGACAAGGTGAAAACAATGCAAGTGAACGCATGAGCAATTTGTTGAACATATAACAGTACAAGTGAAGAAATCACAATTCAACACAAAGATCACAGAGATCTAAAAGACACAACTTGCACTACTCGCAAAACTAAACCTGGTCGTGATCGACAAGTTCATTACTTTCAGGTTCATCAACATTTTCTCTGAAGTTAGCAGGCGGTGTAGTATAGCCTGATGTCGCCGCGGGAGCTGAGGATGACTCTGCCTGGAATAAGTTATAGTAAATATTAATCAAGAAGTGGAAGAAAAAAAAAGAATCAAATACCTGTTGCCAACTAGGTAGCATGGCAGACGTTGCTGTAGGAGCGAGGATGGGAGCAAAGTTGTTGTGGCTCAATAATAAACTTTTTATGGTGGATATGCCCGCCTGAAAGAGTGAAAGTTGAGGTGTTAAAATAAATCCAAGGTTCTAGGTAGTAATGAAAACAACCTTAACGGAAAATTTGATATAGAGGTCACCTCAACTCTGCCTATGTCAACATCTCGTTGGCTAACGGAGAGCAAGGCCTTATTGATCTCTTGTTG